GAGAGGCAGCCCAGAGAGTGAGCACTCATGCAGCACCCGTGTCTACAGTGGAATCCAAGGCGCGGATCGGAGCGCTAGTGTCCCAGAGTGGGGCCCAGCAAACATGACCTATTGCTATGAGGGCGACGCTTACATCACAGAGGTAAAGAGGCGCCTAGTCGAGTATGGCCCAGACCCTTCGGAAGAGGTGATCATCCGTATCATGGAAGAGTTGGATGAGGAGAACAAAGCAGCACGGGAATGTGAGTTCAGATTGTGGAGACTGGGGCTTGGGACAACCGGTCTCTCTCCCCAGCAACAGACACAGTCACAGGGAGAGGAGAGCAGCAACCTCCCTCCCCAGCGGCAGTGCACCGTGCAGAGAGAAGAGACAACCGGTCTCCTTCCCCAGCAGCCACAAGAGGTACCTGAAGTAGGGGTCCTCATAGACTGGTCCTGTGAGGAACCCCAACAGGCAGGTGGAGATGGGACCGAGGTTTGGACTTAGTTTGACTGTTTTATTGCCCCCCCCCCCTCTTAGAACACCGGTTTAAACCCTTAATAACTGTCATATTTTCAAACTCTGTCTGTCTTTAACTGTCAGTTTGTTTTCTTCTGAGGAGTTGTTTTGCTGCATGAGTGCTGTTGCTTTTGTGTGCTCATTAAACAGACCTGCTTGACCCCTTTCTTGAAGCCTTGGCTTATGCTTGGGGGTGGGATAAGTCTGCAGTGCTGATGGTGTCGGTTGGAGTGCTTGGAGTCCTCAGCAAGCACTAGGAGCATCGATTGGCAGAGGTACTCGGTCGGAGTGCCAGCGGGTCTGTCACAGCAACTATTTCTGAATTTCAGACTTGTTTTTCCAGATCAGCTAATTTTGCATGAATTTTGTATTATTTAGTTCTTGGTTTGCCACAGTTCGGAGTTTAGTGTGTGCTCCCTTAATGTTATCATATGGCTTTGCAAGTCTTATTTAAAAAAAATCCAACATTTATTATATTCATGGTAGTAGGTCCATACTTTGTGTTCTTGTCTGGCGGTTTTCAGTGACAGATCCCTGAAATAAACAATTATTTATTTGACCTAGTTCAAAAAGCTCCCCAGTCCTTCCTTTGGACCTGCAGTCCTAATGGTAGTTCAGCCGAAGCTCCAATCCTTCAGTAAGCTGTAATGGCTAGCACTTTTCATTTGCCGTCAGCAGCAAATATATTCAATTGCTACTTTCAACCATGTACCTTGCCATTAGTGACCGACCTCTGAAATAGAATTGACCCAGTTCTGACATTAGTCTTTGCTGGATCTAGAAGGATAAGCAGCTCTTCAAGGTTTTCCAAAAGCTGCTTGGGCTTTCATGATCCAAGCCAAAGTCTTGAGGTTATTTTTCTATCTAAGAGTGGTAATTGAAGCTACAATTTGGGACGTGTTTAAAATAAAGGACAAACCGCGAAAAAAACTCTGTATTAAGTTAAAACTCACAGTCGATGATTGTTGATGCTCTGCAATCATTGTGTTCATATATTTGCAACTATATGCATACCTAACTTATATTTTCTTATAACACAATATATTTAATCTATCCATAAACACAGAAAAAAATCTTCTGGTGATAAATACTTTTTTATAAAATCAAAGACCTGGACCTCTAAATAAAAGATGACTGGTTTACCCATATACGTAGATAACAGAAATTGCAACTTCTCAACTTGGCCTAACCCAAGATCTGATCTTGGTGACATCACTTGCAAATGGGGGACCCATTAATATGTCTGTTAAATCTCAATTTGGTTAAATCTTATAGGGATTTTAGCATTTCAGTGGACAGGATAGTATTCACAGCTGAACTCCACTTGAAACTCCATAGCGTGAACTTAAGGAATTATAAATATACTTTGTAACTAGTGGAAACACGAGTCCGCTTTGAATACTTATTAATAGTAGTTATGATTTTATATAGATTATTTCAAGCTGTTGGGGAACTACTGTCAATATACGTTTTTATGTGACAACAGCCCTACTTAAACAATCTTATGGTGTAAAGAAAATGAGATGACCAATATTTCGAAAAAATCAAAGATTAATATCTATATCTACCGATCAGTTCTACATATGGTATGAAACTTAGGGGTTGTAGAACATGAATTCATGATAAGGGACGTGGCAAATGCCAGACCGTAAAAAAACAAGATATACATTTTTTTATTCTACAGATGGGTCACTGTGTCAACTACTAAGTTACTACAATGGAAAACATCATGTTTTAAAAGTTTGAAAAGTATATGGTAAAAAATTACCTTTAGCTGCTCCCAAAATAAATTGTAAGAGTAAACTGTTGATTGGAACAATATTAATGAGGCTCTCTGTATACCATAACCACTACATATTATTGTATTGACTATAGTGGTATAAGCACTGTACAACGAGCACTGTGAGTTCTGCAGGTAAGTCAGCCAGTGCGGTCTAGCATTGCCATCCAATAATGGACATCTTAGTTTTATATGAGAGACTAAAGAAAAAATGGAGCATTTTGGGCAAAAAGAGAGAGCCCTTTTATAATAAAAAAATACATAAATAAATAGTTTGATGGAAAATCATGGGTCTGCACCCAAAGATTAATTTCAACATACCTACTGCAAAGAGCTGTAGTGGTTATAGTGAGAGTGCCGGTCCCTTAAAGCCTGCATAGGAAATAGCAGAGGAATAACAAAAAAATAATGCCATACCCAAGATTTGTCCCCCATGTTTGCTTCCTGAACCACTGACCTAGTTTGCTTCTTATATCGTGGGTTATTATCTGCTTTGAAGCCAGAGTTCAGATTTATTAAACCTGTTTATTCTTAATATAATTAAATAATATTTCCTTGTTTTACTGCTTTGGTTTTTATAATTTTCAGCGCAGCGAGCAGCTTCCAGAACACTGTTTACTATTTCTTTTTTCTAACATCATGTTTATTGTATCGCATCTGCTTCTTAATTTCATACAATGCTGATAACAATAAAACATTTTAACAATTATATGAATCAACTTTTAATTTGCAAATGCAACTCTCCTCGATGTGTTTTAATTACTTTTAACATGTCCTTCTGTATTGCAATGCATACTACTTCGTTGGTCATATTTGTACTTACTAGGTTTCTGTACAGCAGTGGTAGACACAGGTACATTCTCATTTGTAATTAAACTACAACTCCCATAATCCTTTCAATCCATATGATTGGGAAAGCATCATGGGAGCTGAAATTCTACAGTAGCCAATAATCTATTTTTGGACACCCCTGTTATACAATTGTGTATTAAATTCAAAAGAACTGTTTTTAGTTTGAAGCAGCCATGGGGGTGGGGCTGTTCTGATACATTTTAGGTGACTTACTAACAAGAAGACATCCTATGTTATTTACTTAACTCCACATTTTACAAATTAATTGGTATTGGAAAAACTGAGGTGAAAATGGTTTATTTGGAAAAGTTTTGCTTCAATTTTGCAATACCAAATTAATTTGTGAAAAATCGGAGTTTAGTTAATAATTTTAAAAAGGGAAATCTCTGAGGCTGTGGAACAATTTAAAGTTAAGTCAATAATAATACATAAAATAAGAGTTGGTGGTAGAGCAGGAGTGCTTGGGCGAGAAGAAGAAATAAACGGGTACGAGTGAGGGATCGGGGAAAGACGACAAGAACAATTGGAGAAAGAGAGGGTTATGTGGAGAGTAAGATTATTGGGGCAATTCCAGAGGAACACATGTGAGGGAGAAATGAATGAATAGAGGGGAATGGAGAAAGATGAAGAGGGGTAGATTGAAATCGGAAACACAGTATACAAACACACCCACACATGCACACAAAATACCCACACATGCACACTAAAAGGTCACACAAATATGCAAATATGGACATTGGCACTCTATACTATCTACACAAATACATCCATCATTCACATGCAGTCACCAACACTTCACACAAATATGATACATAGACATTGCCATTCAGCCACATACACCAATCCGGTCATATTCCCTTATCCACCCAGTCAGATAGTCCCATCTCACCTTCCAGTCATACCCAGGGCCGGCCTTAGGCAATTAGGCGCCCTGTGCAAAAAGTCTTCACGGCGCCCCCCCCACCTCCCACCAAGTTGCCTGAATACAGTAACACACACAGGCACCGGGGACGTGTGTATCACGAGTGAAACAAGGCATCTGCCTTGGGCGCCACTTTGCAGGGGGCGGCAAAAAAAAGCATCCCTCCAAACCCCAGGCAGATCCCTTGCTTGCCTCGCATCCTGGGGGGCTCAAGAGCTGACCGGCTGGCCACTTTTGAGCCCCCCCAAGGCTGGCAGCGGGCAGCGAAAGAGCATACTCACCTGAGCTCTTCCTGCTCAGCTTCCTCTGCGCCGCTTAATGAAGCCGGGAGCCAGAATATGACATCAGTCCGGCTCCCGGCATCACTAAGCGCTGCTTACTCAGCCTGTGCGCCCCCTGCCTGCCTGCCCAGCAGCCACACTGGACTGCTGGTAAGAAATCCACTCCAGCTTTCCCAGGGAGGCTGGGTGGATTTAAAATAAATGTAAAAAATATTAGTTTGTGAGTGTTAGTGGAAATGTCTGTGTGTGTGTGTCTGTGAGTGTTTATTTTGAAGTGAATGTGTGTGTGTGTGTGTCTGTAAGTGTGTAATTGTGTGTGTGTAAGTGAATGTGTGTGTGTCTGTGAGTGAATGTGTGTGTTGGTCAGTGAGTGTATATGTGTCAGTCAGTGAGTGTGTATGTGTCAGTCAGTGAGTGTGTATGTGTCGTCAGTGAGTGTGTATGTGTCGTCAGTGAGTGTGCGTCTGTCAGTGAGTGAGCGTCTGTCAGTCAAAGTGCGGCCTTGACAGGAAGGGGTGGGGGAAATGTAAACTCGGTTACAGGCATGTACACACACACTCAGTTAAAGGCAGTCACACATACAGGCACAGGCACAAACAATGGCACAGCTACAGCGACACACACAGACAGACAGTCACATAGGCAGTCACACACACAGACAGACACACAGTAACACACACATAGACAGTTATACACACACAGGCAGGCAGTCACACAGATAGAAGGTCACACACACAGGCAGGCAGTCACACACAGACAGATAGTTACAGACAGACACACACAGGCAGGCAGGCAGTCACATACAGGCAGTCACACACACAGGCAGTCACACACACAGACAGACAGTCACACACACAGACAGACACACAGACAGACAGTCTCACACACACAGGCAGTCACACACACGGGCAGTCACACAGACAGACAGTCACACACACAGGCAGTCACACAGACAGACAGTCACACACACAGACAGTCACACACAGGCAGTCAGTCACACACAGAGACAGTCACACACACACACAGAGACAGACAGTCACACACACACACACACACACACACACAAGGACAGGCAGTCACATAGACAGACAGTCACACACACACACACAGACAGACAGTCACACAAACAGGCAAACAGTCACACACACACACTTACCTCTTTCCAGTGGATGCAGTTGGCTGATGGGGAAGCATCTTTCCCTCTTCCTGTACAGCAGGGGCTTCGGGAGGTATTAGCCCGTCTCCGCCTCTCGATAAGCCCCGCCTCCGCCGCTCGGTAAACCCCGCCCCCTCTGCCGCGATTTTTTTTTTTTTTTAAATAGACCTGGGTGGAGAATAATTAATCCTCCAGCCAGGTACCTCTTTTAGCTCCCCTGCACTCCGGCCATGAGTGAGCTGTGTCGGCCACAGGGCGCCCCCTGTTCCATGGCGCCCTGTGCGGTCGCACAGCTCGCACACCCCTAAGGCCGGCCCTGGTCATACCCACTCATCATGTCACATTCATGCACTTGCCCACATAACATGTCACCTGCCCCCACCCACCTTGCACTTATTACCATCAAGACACCCGACTTGTCATAATTACCATTCAGTCATGGTGATTCCATCCAATCACATACCCCAAACTAATCACATTCATCAGACAATCACATACCCTAATCTAGTCACATTCATCAGCCAATCACATACCCCAAACTAGTCACATTCATCCATCCAATCACATAACCCAAACTAGTCACATTCATCCATCCAATCACATAACCCAAACTAGTCACATTCATCCATCCAATCACATAACCCAAACTAGTCACATTCATCCATCCAATCACATAACCCAAACTAGTCACATTCATCCATCCAATCACATAACCCAAACTAGTCACATTCATCCATCCAATCACATAACCCAAACTAGTCACATTCATCCATCCAATCACATAACCCAAACTAGTCACATTCATCCATCCAATCACATAACCCAAACTAGTCACATTCATCCATCCAATCACATAACCCAAACTAGTCACATTCATCCTTTCAATCACATACCCCAAACTAGCCACATTCAGCCATCCAATCACATACCACAAACTAGCCACATTCAGCCATCCAATCACATACCCCAAACTAGCCACATTCATCTTTTCAATCACATAACCCAAACTAGTCACATTCATCCATCTAATCACATATTCCAAACATCCAATCACATACCCCAAAATAGTCACATTCATCCATCTAATCACATATTCCAAACATCCAATCACTTACCCCAAACTAGTCACATTTATCAGCCAATCACATAACCCAAACTATTCACATTCATCAGCCAATCACATACCCCAAACTAGCCACATTCATTCATCCAATCACATACCTCAAACTAGTCACATTCATCAGCCAATCACATACCCCAAACTAGTCACATTCATCAGCCAATCACATACCCCAAACTATTCACATTCATCAGCCAATCACATACCCCAAACTATTCACATTCATCAGCCAATCACATACCACAAACTAGTCACATTCATTTATCCAATCAAACGTCATATATATGACGTTCTGGGGTGTATTGGGGAAGCTGGCCTTGAGGCAGCAGAAAGAGTAAATCCGCCCCTGAAAATTCTTGAAAACTGAGAGCTATCGCAATGCATCTTTCCTAGTAAAATATGTCTTAAATAAAATAAAGAATCCAAATCTATAGTTCTGGAACATTACAGATGCAGCAGCTAGGTTGGCTATCACTGCTGTACTGGAATGAGTAATAGATAATTGCTATTTAGAATGTAAATGTGTGTTCTGACTTTTTGTTCATCCTAAACCACTGCTTTCCCCTATGGTGAACAATTATTCAGCAGATTAACGCAAAGCTGATAACTGTTCTGTGATGTACTTGATAGTTTTTCTTTTAATCATAGATTGAAACCTGTATTTTCTGTTAAACCATGGATTAAGCTGCTTGCAGCTGTACACTATCCTATTTAAATAGCCAGAACTCTATATTGCATGGTGTTTACAAGAGAATGCAGGTGTCAAAACGCAAATACAATCTTTAAATACAATCATTAAGCCAGTGAAAAATAAAGATTACTTATAGAACTGCTTTATACTTAGAAAGTTCAATTTCTGCTTATTTAGACATTATTATTCAGCTTTGGCGACAATTAGAACACTCAGAAATTAATTATCTGTCTGTCTGTCTGCCTCTGTCTGTCTTCCTGCCTGATTAAGAAATACTGTATCCATCCATCCATCAATCTAGATAGGTAACATGGTGTCTTGCAGCAGAATAACTATATATTTCTTTCAATCTGTACATTTGTGATTTATTGATTCTGACTATAAGAAAAACTATCATCCATCGCTGAATGGTCAACCACTTCACATAGCTTCGGACCTATATAAATGCTTTGTTTAAATTGCCCTATAACACAGGGGTCCCAAATAACAGGAGCGACCTGGGACAGGATGTTTTAGAACTTTTCATTGATGGGAATCGTGTCCTATATGCTTTAAATCCCTTTATACATATACCTGCTACTGTATGGACCTAATGTGGCAAAAGGAACATGAAATATATATATTTTGGCCCCTGTGGTGAGAGCCTGTGTGCCACAGGAAGGAAGCTGAGGTATACTCTGTATTTCGTGTAAATTTGTGAGATATTTTTGTATCTCTGTTTTCCTGTAACAATGTTGAAATGTTTTGTATGATCTGTTGTGGCAAGGTATATAATTGAAGACAATCTAAGCTCTGCCTGTTCACATGTCTTTCCTCCACCGTAGTCTGACATGGATCTTGTGTCTTTTTTTTTTTTTTTTAAATATTACGAGTTTTATAACCCTTTTGCCATTGGCACTGCAGCTTTATCTCAATTCTAAATCGCAGGGATTTTTTATATAGATATAAAAAAAATCACAAAAATGATTAAGTTATCAAATACACAATACTGCATCAAAATTGCAGTTATACAAAATATTCTTAATGGGGAGCTGCACACTGCGAAAAGTGAAAACAGCAGGCGTTTTTTTACAAATCTATTTGTTTTCAAAAAATCATTTTCTACAAATCGTTGTTTTCTAAAACACCCAGCTAAATGATCTTTCTCGCAGGGTGTTAATGATGACCTAAATTCCAGCTAAATGGTTTTTCATTTTGCTATTTGTATGGAATATGCAAACATAGTGCTCTCTTGAACATTTCTTAAAGCTGGATGGCATAAGACTCAAGTCGAACCCTGACAGCCAGTGTATTGTTTAGCATAAACTACAATGAATGCTAATTGAAACAAAATAAGCAACATCTACTGTTCCCGAGGTCTCTATCGACAATTCTAATCCATCTGTGGCATTTGTGCTTAATAGACTCGTATGCAGCCAGCTAGACTTTACCCACTTTCACACTGCTTTAAAAAATTAAAAATTCATTGCTTTTCTAACAGGTTTAGTGTTTCATTACAAGTGATGCTCTTATGTGTGATGAATCGGAATGGTTTTATTTACAGGAAGTTATTTCCAGGTCATACCCAATTCTGTGGAGTCCGAAATGTGTTTATAGAATCTCTAGAAAAAAAAAGAACAAACCGCTGATATACAGCATCTATCTCTGAAATGAAGTCTGTCTTGCAAATTGCATTTTTGTTTTTAACCCCTGCACGCCTAACGCTAAGACAATTATCTTAAGGGGTTAAAACGCTCTTGAGCGGTTTAATTGCACAGGTTGCTCTCTGTACGTATCATTTTCATGAATGGGCAACTAGTGATTGTCTTAGAGAGCCATCTGACAGCTCTAGCCAAACAGCGGCGGCCCTGCCTGCCGGCACTATGCGCTTCCTGAAACTCAATTGAAGAACCTGGATGCAGCTGGGGAAATGGAGATCCTGAAGTTGTTATAGTGCCCATACAGTTTCTGATTTTCCCCATGCAGAGAGCTTTACTTTTATGCTGGGGCCTCTGTCTGTCCCTTTGGTTGGATCAGAAGCACGCAATGCTCAGCTAAATGTATTTACTACATGTGAGTATTTAACCCACAGTATTATTTTAACATCCTGGTGGTATTTTTGGGAAGTTGCATTTCCAAACTCATTATTATGTTCCTTACAAATGAGCTAAACAGGCATTTAACCATTTCTATTAATTTATTTTTGGCACACCTTCTAAACATAACAAAAAACTATTATTGTGTTTGTGTTTATTATTCAGATGCTGAATAAAATATTAAAAGATCATGGCATTATATATATAATCTATCAGATAATATGAGAAACGTTTGCCATTGATGTGTTCTGGAGACTTTAAAATAAACTATGAGACATCCATCACGAGTGGAATGTCTTCAGAACCCTGAGATATCATTATTGATGCTTCACCATTCAACTAGTAGATGCTCAGGTCTCAAACCTATATTATTATTATCACACCGATCCCTCCCATAACGGCAGGTCTCAAATACTGTCAAGAGATACAACAACAGTAAGATTATCATTTTGGCTTTCTTTGGGCCTTGTTGGGTGGGTGGAGCTGCCATCTTGGCTGAGTGCAGTATTCTCTTAATGAAGTTGTGAGGAAGTGACAGGCTCTTACGTATTCCCAAGCTGCCAATAGTACAGGGGCCCGGTCTTGCTCGTAAAGGTTCAGCAATAATAATTGGGTGGCCATAAGTACATGGGCCATCCGATGGGCCCTCAAAATGTGTGAGACCCGATGCAGCTGCAGTAATTCTGCCACTATATATATATATTGAATATCAATGATACACACAATATTTTATTGTCATTTCAAAGAATTTCAGTTCCTTGTTATACCTTTCAGCATGCTGTTTGACAAGCCTACCCAGATATAAACAGCTTGGGCCATCAATTATGCACCTTTATTGGTATCATTCCAGAAGAAACTGACAAAGAAGT